CTCCAGCGTGTTCTGGGTCTTCCCCGGGGTCTCTTCCCAGTTGGACGTGCCTGGAAAACCTCCAGTGGGAGGCATCGAGGAGGCATCCTAATTAGATGCCCGAACCACCTCAGCTGACTCCTTTCGACGCGAAGGAGTAGCGGCTCGACTCCAAGCTCCCTCCTGATGACCGAGCTCCTTACCCTATCTCTAAGGCTGAGCCCGGCCACCCTACGGAGGAAACTCATTTCGGCCGCTTGTAGCCGCGACCTTGTCCTTTCGGTCACGACCCAGAGTTCGTGACCATAGGTGAGGGTAGGAACGTAGACCGAGTGGTAAATTGAGAGCTTTGCCTTCCGGCTCAGCTCCCTCTTCACCAAGACGGTCCGGTGCAGCGCCTGCTTTACTGCTGCAGCCGCACCGATCCGCCTGTCGATCTCCCGCTCCATCTTACCCTCACTCGTGAACAAGACCCCGAGATACATACTTGAACTCCTTCGCTTGAGGTAGGCACTCCGTCCCCACCTGGAGGGAGCAATCCACCGGTTTCCGGCAGAGAACCATGGCCTCAGATTTGGAGGTGCTAACTCTCATCCACGCCGCTTCACACTCGGCTGCAAACCGCCCCAGTGAATGCTGGAGGTCATGATCCGAGGAGGCTAACAGGACCACATCATCTGCAAACAGCAGAGAGGCGATCCCGAGACCCCCGAACCTGATGTTCTCCACCTCCCGGCTGCGCCTAGATATCCTGTCCATGAAAGTCACGAACAGGACCGGAGACAAAGGGCAGCCCTGGCGTAGGCCAACACCCACCGGGAACGTGTCTGACTTATTGCCGAGAATGCGGACACAGCTCCTACTGCAGTCGTAAAGAGACCGGATCGCCCGTTGTAATGGGTCCGGCACCCCATACTTCCGCAGCACCCCCCACAAGAACCCCCGAGGGACCCGGTCGAAAGCCTTCTCCAAGTCCACAAACCACATGTAGACTGGTTGGGCAAACTCCCAGAACCCCTCCAGTAGTCTTGCGAGGGTAAAGAGCTGGTCCACTGTTCCACGGCCGGGACGGAATCCGCATTACTCCTCTTGAATCTGAGGTTCGACAAACGGTCGGAGCCTCCTTTCCAGCACCCTGGGTGCAATGCAGACCGGGCGGCGGGTCAGGCGGGAGGCCTGGGCGAGCCGATCGCCGGCGGCATAGACTAGGTCTGTTTATGTCTCCCGTGTATATTGACGTAGAGCTTGTTATTGATCAGTGTACTAATGTTCTGCTGCGTCGGTATACTTGGATAGATTATTGATTATCTATTTGTGTAATGGTCTGTTGTTGTGCTGTCTGCAGGTCTGGAGAACGTCACTATACAGCTGAATCTGGAGGCCGAGTTTCACTTCACACATCTCATTATGACGTTCAAGGTAAGCTCTATACAGATACACACAGTAGGGGATTCTGGGTAATCAAAGATCAGTTTACTGCTCAATGTTCATACTTTTATCCGTAAAGTTGTTTAATGTCTTCAGTAGCTTTGGAGACATCATAAGGTGTAGAGTTTAAAGGATGCGGTTTTCCTGAACTCTAAACTCAGCATCTCACATCACTGACACACATTAACACACCAGATTTGGTTTAGTAACAGGTCTGACAGTAAACTGGTTACTGGTGCAGCTGAGTGCAGGTCTGACAGTAAACTGGTTACTGGTGCAGCTGAGTGCAGGTCTGACAGTAAACTGGTTACTGGTGCAGCTGAGTGCAGGTCTGACAGTAAACTGGAGTTTGCTTGGCAGGTGGTTCATCCAATCACCTGCTGCGTATTTTTTAGAAAGTGCCTGACCCCTTCCAATGACGGCTTCTCAGATGCTTCTGTGTAACAAACCAACTGGCTAGTCAGGCTAGGTTACTGCTGCAGCCGACTGCAGGCTGGACAGTGAATCACTCACTGTTGATTGTCATGTGGATCAGCAGAACCGTAACATGGTATTTAGTTCAAGTATGTTTTCTAACATCGACATTCTTTGTCCTCAGACGTTTCGACCTGCCGCCATGGTGATCGAGCGCTCAGCTGACTTTGGGAAGACATGGCAGCTTTATCGTTACTTCGCCTACGACTGTGAGAGCTCCTTCCCATCTGTTTCCCAGGGACCAATGCAGAAGGTCGATGATGTCATCTGTGACTCGCGTTACTCCGACATCGAGCCGTCCACTGAAGGAGAGGTACTGCAGTACTCTGAGGGTGTACTCTCTAAGAGCTGGTCTGGTAACCACAGTGTTACAGAGGAAAGGAAATGATATCATAATACACTTGACGTGACGTCACTGTGATGTTGTCTTTTTTACTCTTTGGTGATTCCAGGTGATTTTCAGAGTTTTGGACCCGGCCTTCAGGATCGATGATCCCTACAGCCCCAGAATCCAGAGTATGTCCCTTTACACCAGAAAATAACTATTATAGGATCTGTTGGGATTATTGATTAGGTATTATCTATCACTGACCTGTTATTGATCTTTTGTTCAGACATGTTGAAGATCACCAACCTGCGGGTGAAGTTCACCAGACTGCACACGCTCGGCGATAACTTGCTGGACTCTCGTATGGAGATCAAAGAGAAGTATTATTTCGCCATCTTCGATATGGTGGTCCGAGGAAACTGCTTCTGCTACGGACACGCCTCAGAGTGTGCCCCGATCCAAGGAGCCGGACAGACCAGTGAGGGCATGGTGAGTCTTGAAGTGGGCAGGGTGATCTCTGAAGGGGGAAGGGTGAGTCCTATACGGGGTAGGGTGAGCTCTGGAGGGTGATTCCTATACGGGGTAGGGTGAGCTCTGGAGGGTGAGTCCTATAGGGGGTAGGGTGATCTCTGGAGGATGAGTCATATAGGGGGTAGGGTGATCTCTGGAGGGTGAGTCCTATAGGGGGTAGGGTGATCTCTGAAGGGTGATTCCTATACGGGGTAGGGTGAGCTCTGATCAGATGTGACTGTGTGTGTCTACAGGTTCATGGTCACTGCATGTGTAACCACAACACTAAAGGTCTGAACTGTGAAAAGTGTCAGAATTTCTACCACGACCTGCCGTGGAGACCAGCCGAGGGACGCAACACCAATGCCTGCAAAAGTGAGTCTCTACTGCTCTATACAGGTTTCTACTGATGTCTGTTTCTGGTCTCTACTGGAAAACAACCAGTACAAACTGAGGCTGCAGCTTTTGATCATTTTTGTAATGGAGTATTCTTGTGATTATGCCATTGATTTATCGAATACTCAGATAAAAAAAGAGGAGCAATAGTGAATATGCAAAAGAGAAAATAAGCTGGAGCAACTGATTAGTTTCCTTTTTATAAAGGATTTATCAGCATTTTTATTGTTTAAATTGCATACCATAATATTATTGGCATTTAAGTACCATATTTCATTCTGGGTGTCGAGTCTCTTTTTTTCACAACTGTCCTGAAGTATCAGTGTTAACCATCAAAATACTGAATGGTATCCATTTACCTTGTTATAGTCATCTATTGTGATGATATGGAAATATATGATGGTGTTTTTATTTAAACATTTATTTTGATTAAAAACATTCTTGGTGTGAGTAGTTTTAATTATATATTATAAGCTGCTTAGAGCTCGTGTTAGGAAGTTAAAGAGCTCATAATTCATCTCTAATATCCATTTTATATTTGTGTGAAAACATCTCCTTCAAACTACTGGATGTATTCAAGTTCATCACCAACACTAGATTTGACCAGATTACATTTCATGGTGAGGCGGTAAACGAAACCTCAATGCAAAGAATTAGCTTCACTGATTTTCACTCATCATGGAGTTACTGGAGTTTCTCGTGGAATGATTTGTGCTCTCGTACAAGCACTGTCTCTACTGGTGTCTGGTGAACTGGTACTATGTCAAAAGGTTGGACAGCAGTACTAAACTTATACATGAGGTCCTGTTTGTTTCTGAACTGTCTCTTCAGGTCCTGTTTCAATCCTTTTTATGAATTCAATCTGATCAGTAATCAATCATCATCACCAGCGTCTGAAACTCATATCTCATATTTTCTTCTTCTGTGGTGTCTGTAGAGTGCAACTGTAACCAGCACTCCTCCTCATGTCACTTTGACGTGGCCGTGTTCGTGGCTTCAGGAAACATCAGCGGAGGAGTCTGCGACGACTGTCAGCACAACACGGACGGACACAACTGTGAGCGGTGTAAACCATTTTACTACCAACATCCAGAGAGGGACGTCAGAGACCCCAACATTTGTCAATGTGAGTCCAGACTTTAAGACAGAATATTGACACAATGTAAACCGTTTTATTACCGAGAGAGCTTCTAGAGAGAAAAATGAGAAAGAGAAACTTCCTTTGGTTCATTTGGATGTCGGCAGGATGTCATGATTGACAGTATCAAATGTTTTTTAACGTTTAAAAAGACTGAACAGACTAACCCAGATTATTCAGCAGCACTTCAAAATATTGAAGCACAGCGTTTGAGTTGGTCTTCATTCCAATGAGATTACTAAGTGGATAGCAGGGCCGTCCTTCAATCAGAGGATTGGCAGTTCGATCCCCGCCTCCGGCTCTGCTAGTTGCATGTCGATGTGTCTTTGAGCAAGACACTTGACCCCAAAAATGTCTCCCGTAGCTGAGCCTACAGTGTAGAAATGTGATAGAATCTGAATTGTAAGTCGCTTTGGATAAAAGCGTCTGCTAAATGACTAATGTAATGTACTATAAAAGGCCTTTTATTCCACCATTATTGTTAATTGAGATGATGTCACCTGACTGTTCCTGTAACCACCCCCCAGGGTTAGGGTTGCTCATCAGGGACAATGAAGGTTGATTGATTGCATTCCCTCCTCCTGCAGACTTGAAGTCAGGACTGAATTAACCGGCACTAATTAATTTAAACAGATCTGATATTAACAGTTTTGTAAGTTTAAATAATCGGTATCGTGACTTTATAAAATAGGAAGTCTTTGTTTAAACCCGTTTCTTCCTCCTCACAATGTATTTTGTCCTGCCTGTGTTTCTGTAGCCTGTAACTGCGATGCTCTGGGTTCACTGAACGGAGGAATATGTGACGGGATGACAGACGTTCGAGCCGGTTTGATTGCCGGTCAGTGTCGCTGTAAAGTCAACGTGGAAGGAGAACGCTGTGAGCGCTGCAAACAGGCTCACTACAGGATGAGTGACGAGCCTGAAGGCTGCACGGGTACGACACCTGCACACAAATGCACACAACACTGGCACACAACACCTGCATAGACATTTTTGTGGCAGAAACACCACCAATATGTTGTGGCAGAAATGAAGAGAAGAGACTCAGTTCTTGGAATTGCAACCAGCGGGGGTCATTTTATTCTTGTGCGCACAAGAACATTTCACAACGAATCCTAATTGCCAGAGCGAGTACGTCTGACTTTATACCTTTGGTGAACTGTACTTTACGTCACAGTCCACCAATCAAATCCCTTCGACTAAACCAGAAGCAAAACACATCTAGACTTTTCATTATGTCATTGCTGACATTTCTGGCAGGTTAAATGATTATGGTACGGGAAATGTTTTTTGGCATGATTCTCAACTAATGTCTCTCAGAGGTACTTAATCACAATGTTCTGCTGATCTAAACATGTTCTCATATCTTACTTAACTTTCCTGGCATGGTTCTATTATCCACCTCTCACAGTTGCTTCTCTGGGATTGATGGAGTTGGCAAGTTATATGAGGATTTTCTTCAACATATTACACACAACACCTGCACACAACACCTACACACTAATACACACACCTGCACTCACACACAGGTTTGGGTTCCTGGATGACAGGAAGTATAACAGAGTTCCAGACTCACAGGAGAGGATAGTATGGTTACAGTCTTGTAGCATTGGTACTATAGTTTTTCTCATCATGTGTACTCTTACTGTGTTCCAGTGTGTACCTGCAGTCCCCTGGGAACTCTTCCTGGTGGAAATCCCTGTGACAGTGAAACAGGAAGTTGTTTCTGTAAACGTCTGGTGACAGGACGAGACTGTGACCAGTGTGTGGTGAGAACACACATTTACTGTTATAAAACTGTGAGACCACAGTCCTGATCCTGGTCCAGTCTGACCGCTTGACTGATATTTCTTTCCTGTATGAATATTTCAATGTGCATCATTATGCTGATGATTGTCTTTATTATTTATTTGACTGGCAACACAAACCAACCAGATCTCCAAATAATTACAGTCTGCTGCAGACTACCTCCATCTTTGATTGATGATAAGTTTGTGCTACTGTGTGTTCGTTCTCAGTCTGAACACTGGGGTCTCAGTAACGATATGGACGGCTGCAGACCATGTGACTGTGACCTCGGAGGAGCTGTCAACAACCAGTAAGTTTAGTCCACTTTATTAGGTACACCTTGCTAGTACCGGGTTGGACCCCTTTTGCCTTCAGAACTGCCTTAATTCTTCGTAGCAGAGATTCAACAAGGTGTTGGAAACATTCCTCACACATTTTGCTCCATATTGACCCGATAGCATCACGCAGTTGCTGCAGATTTGTCTGCTGCACATCCATGATGCCAATCTCTCGTTCCACCACATCTCAAAGGTGCTCTGTTGGATTGAGATGTGGTGACTGTGGAGGCCATTGGAGTACAGTGAACTCATCATCATGTTCAAGAAAGCAGTTTGAGATGATTTGAGCTTTGTGACATGGTGCATTATCCTGCTGGAGGTAGCCATCAGAAGATGAGTCCACTGTGGTCATAAAGGGATGGACATGGTCAGCAACAATACTCAGGTAGGCCGTGGCGTTTAAACCATGCTCAATTGGTACTCATGGCCCAAAGTGTGCCAAGAAAATATCCCCCCCACCTTTACACCACCACCAGCAGCCTGAACCGTTGATACAAGGCAGGATGGATCCATGCTTTCATGTTGTTTACGCCAAATTCTGACCCCACCATCTGAATGTCGCAGCTGAAATCAAGACTCATCAGACCAGGCAACATTTTTCCAATCTTCTATTGTCCAATTTTTGTGAGTCTGTGTGAATTGTAGCCTCAGTTTCTTGTTCTTGGCTGACAGGAGTGACACTCGGTGTGGTCTTCTGCTGCTGTAGCCCGGCTGCTTCAAGGTTCCACGTGTTGTGCATTCAGAGATGTGTTCTGCATACCTTGGTTGTAACGAGTGGTTATTTGAGTTACTGTGGCCTTTCTATCATCTCCAACAACTCTGCCCATTCTCCTCTGACCTCTGACATTAACAAGGCATTTTCGTCCACACAACTGCCGCTCACTGAATAGCTTTTCTTTTTCGGACCATTCTCTGTAAACCCTGGAGATGATTGTGCGTGAAAATCCCAGTAGGTCAGCAGTTTGAAATACTCAGACCAGCCCGTCTGGCACCAGCAACCATGCCACGTTCAAAGTCACTTAAATCCATTTTCTTCCTCATTCAGATGCTCGCTTTCAAATTCAGCAAGTCGTCTTCATCACGTCTAGAGGCCTAAATGCATTGAGCTGCTGCCATGTGATTGGCTGATTAGCTATTTGTTTTAACAAGCAATTGAACAGGTGTGCCTAATAAAGTGGCCAGTATACAGTTGTGTGAAAAAGTGTTTGCCCCCTTCCTGATTTCTTATTTTTTTGCATGTTTGTCACATTTTAAATATTAGACAAAGATAACACAAGTAAACACAAAATGCAGTTTTTAAATGAAGGTTTTTATTATTAAGGGG